ATCAAGCGCCAAACTACGGATAAGCACGGCAAACAGCACAAGCCATCAGTGGCAGACCGCAAGGAGGTGCTACGCAACATTGAAGCTGCCTATATCAGCCTGATGCGGATGGAAGATCATATGCGAGTGGAACCGCCGCCTCCAAACCAAGAGAGCAGTCCAGAAGCGATTCAGCAGCATATGGAGTGGCGCAGCAAGCTTGACGCTCTACATGACCAATTGTGGCAAGACGTCAAGATTATGGAACCTCTGAATCTTCAGTAAGCAGCAACAACCGTGTATACAAGCTCGTCTGTTCTAACAAAGTGCAGGTCATCCACACCGCATCCTTTCATCGCGATGCTATCTCATCCCAAAGGCAAGAAGCTCATTCCTCGGCTGTTCCACCTCATTACGGAAGAGGAGCGCCTCACTGTGGTTACCATGATTGTATATCATCTAGATCGCCTTCCGGTTGTCGCTCATGCCGTCGGCGTACCAGACGAGCCCGTCAGCCCCGCAATTCGTCAAGAAGTCGATCTCTTCTCGCACACAGTAATCGGTCCCGTCTTTACACACCTGCAAGAGTCGCCGCTGGACGTTATTGTCGGCCTCTTGGGGTTGATCTGTGACAGGACGAACTTGTTCGTTGTGGCTCGGAGCGAAATTGGCATCAAGCTTCTCTCGATGCTTGTCGCTCGGGCTGAGCTGATCAAGGGCTCGACACCGGAGATGAAGCCAGGGCTTTGGGAGTCATGGATGGAGCTCTACAACCGTTTGTTCGACGCGGTCGAGCCTGTTCTCCCCTATCTCTTCCCCGCGTCGGTGAACGAGCAGAATGATCATCATGTGTGGGGCTTCCTGGCTGCCATGGGTGCTGGTGCTAGCCCAGAGCAGCAGCAGAGGCTCGTGATAGGGGTCAAGGATCGTGTCATGGATACGGTCGCTCTCAGCAAGACTCTGCCTGCGGAGATGGCTGCAACACGCTTAGCAAATGTGAACCTCTTCATGAGGGCTATCGGTTTGGATGTAGACCTCTTGGGATGAGCAGAGCGCAGAGTTGAGAAATCAAAAGTCTTCGGCTCATGGAAGCCGCTATTCACGGGGAAGACCGACACCTCGTCGGCGCCGAGGGAGGGCGAAGTCAACGACAAGACCTGGGGAGGCATTGATCGGGTGTTTGGCATCGGGATGGCGAGGAGCACATGGGGAGTTGGGTACTATGTCCAGCCTTCAGTCGTTCTGAGGGATCCGGCTGGCATATGTTTGTTCCATTCCCCTGTACAAAAGTGTCTTTCTATTAAGGGCGGGCATGCCAGATTGTCGCTGGAAGGCGGCGTCGAGTGGTGTTTTTTCTTTTCTTTTTTGGCTTGTGTTTCTATTATGCGTTTTGCAAGGCTGATGTAGCCTCCTACCTAGGTAGTGTGTGTGCGTGTGTATATGATTGGCAGTACTTTCACGGGGGGTGGCCCGTGCCGAGACGAGCCGGTCGCCCCTTCCTCCTTTACTCTTCCAACACTCTTCCACTCTTTCAGAGCTCTCGCGTCCCTCCATCCCTCCCTCATTCTTACACTCATTTCTCACGTATGCACTAATTTCGCCCGCTGAAGCCTGCGGCATGGATCTCAACCTTTCCGATCCTGGGCCCTCTCCCTTAGAGTACGCCAGGTCGAATGGCCTCTGCAGGGAGTACTTCCGCTACCCGCTATACTCCAGCGTCGGAGAGCCTCCAACGGATGATGTGCTCGAAGCTGACTTAAGAGACTCAGTTGATTGTCCAACATTGAGCCCTGGCACTGACCTGACGAAAGAACGATTGGCCGTGGACAGAGATGCGGCTTTGTTCCTAAAAACAGTCATCTCCCTGCGCGAGCCTCCTGAGGATGGGCACATATGGGAGCCACCACCGCGGAGATCCCGTGCACTCAAGTTTGAGCTACCACTTCTGCGGTCTGACAATGATATCGATCTCCAGAGCTTCGGAAGTACTGCGATGCCACCCTTCGACAACATCCAAGCTCTCCCAGACGTAGTCGACGAGGAAAATGACGAGGGCTTGCAGTGGCCCGCAAGAACATTCCAAGACATCGAGTCAATCAATACTCGCATCAGTACTGAGAAGATCTCGGTTACCAAGGATGTGCTGCTCTTCCTTCAAAGCTCAGTCAAGGACAGCTGGACTGAGGCAGACGCGGAGGCTTTGGCGGCCCAGCAATCTATCTTCCAACGAGTATGCTCATTAGAACAATTGAGGACTTTGCTAATGAGTCCAGAACCCTGTTACACGGCCTATGACACCTCCACTGCTACCTTTGTCTCCACCAGTGACACCTTACGTGCCTTCCTCTCCAGGCAGTCGACTCCCGATGCTGTCAACAGATAGTGATTTTGTTGGGGCGGAATTAAAGGCATTAGACGACCAGATCATGGCCAACGACGCTTTTCCATCCGATGATATGTTGTTTGATGATCTAGACCCCCAAGACACACTTGACAACCCACCCCTGCCAGCAACGAAACGCAAGATTGAGGATATCAAGATCGAAGGTCCTCTTACACCTCCCATGTTCCCAGACTCACCTTCGAAACGTTTCAAAGCTGTGAAGTTCCAAGAAATGGTTCAAGAGTACATCCAGGAACTTCCTTCCAATACTGAATCCGGGGATTGCTGTCTCAGCGGCAGTGAAGACTTTGCCGGCTTCTACACGCAATTCACGCCTCTAACCCAGGACATAAACAGAAGGCTAGAGAACGAGAAGCTCTCCTGTGTAGACACTACCAAGCGGGTGGACGTTCCCCAAATGGACTTTATGCTGCCTGTCGCACCTTGGGACTTTTACTCTAGGAAGAACAACGGCCTTCGTCAGACTGGCATGACTGAGGCGGACGCCCAAATGAAGTTTCTCCAACGTGTGCAGCATGAACAGCCCAAGGACACACTGACCTGGCACGGCGGCTCGAAATTGGACAGGGAACTAAGTTGGGCTGTCTTTCCACTTGAAATGGCAAGCGTGAAAGTAGAGGAGAGACTTCATGGCGAAGAGGTGCTTGCCAAGATACTCTCAGATATGACCTTGGGGCACATCGCGACCAGTTCGACCGACATCTGGATTCCGGATACGCTTCGACTTCTCGAGCATGACGACTGCGACGATGAGCTCGAGGCTGTTGAGTATAGTGAACCTCCCACTCTGACTTCCATGATACAGAAGCGAAAACGTGAGCTGGATGAAGTTGAACACCAGCCAAAACCGGCGAATTCAAGACAGCAAATCTCATCGAAGGCAAGAAGGGTGTCTGGAAATGCAGACATCAATGATGGCCAATCCGCAACAAACACAGCGACGGCAGGCAGAAACAAAGCCAACGACAATGGTGCAATGTTTGGAGGCGCCTTCTCTGCATCTTCAGCTCTGCAGATGTTCATGGAGTCACGAGGTAAGCAGGTTCCGGAAAGCCAGAAAATACCGTTTCCAAGCAAGGAAATCCCGTTTAGCGAGGAGAGCGCTGGCAGCGGTGGTGGGCCAGCCGGCCTTTATAGTCAAATGCCCCAAGCACAGCAGTTGCCCAACCCTCCCAAGTCAGCAGTCACCGCCTACGGCCCCCCGATCCCTCAACATCTGCCGCCCTGTTCGTTCATCCTGTCCTCGACCGTGCTGAGACAACGAGGTCTCGCCCGTGATATACGGAAGATCTATTCTGACGCATCATTCATCGAACGCGACTTTGCTCTCCCACACTCCCCGTCCGACGAAGCAGACTTGATACTTTCACCCTCAACCGGCCTGATCTGCACCACGATACAGCAGCTCAAGCAACGCGCTCTCCCCGGACAGCCCGACCGGTCTCCTCTCAAGGAGCGCTTACTCTCTCTCCAATCTAGATATGAGCGACTTCTTGTCCTTGTCAGCGAGGGGCTGAGGGGCGAAGCAGAACAATCTGGGTCGAGCCGCCCACTTGACAATCGCGACTTGGAGGCCTTGACGGAGTTCAAGAAGTATACGGATGCCCTCGAGCCGGAGATTGTGACATCGTACGTCCAAGGTGGTGAGGTGGCTTTGGCAAGTGGCATAGTATGCGAGATGGCAAAATATGGGCTCCCGCATGGCTCCGCTGATATTGGTGAGCTCAAGCTTATGGAGGATGAGACAACTGTGAGTAAAGCCCGGCATTGGATTATGTAGACTGTACTGACACCCTTTCACAGTGGGAAGTCTTCCTCCGCCGCGCCGGGCTCAACGCATTCGCCGCTCAGGCCATCCTAGGCTCGTTCAAGGAACCGTATCTCCTGCCACTAGAGACTGGGTACTCCGACGACTCGCAGTTCTCCGAAAAATCGCTCGAGATCTACGGGCTGCAGGCATATCTGATGTTGGACCCGGCGGAGCGCATCAAGAGATTCGAGGTGCTGCTGGGTGGGAATCGGGTGTTGAGACGCGTGAATGACATCCTGGAGCGCAGGTGGCTTAGTGGTGCGAACGGGTTTCGGGGTTGATGAGGCTGGGATTGTGTGGTGAAATTTGACCATGTGATGGAGGTATCTGAGATGATGTAGAGAGTAGAACACATGTGAGGCGGTTCAATGTGGTGCGTGAGGGACCATATAGCTACACTACTACTACTTACTGGTGTATTCTCAGAATGCATCCCCGGCTGTACGTCTAAAGGCTTCAACAGATAAATAGAGTGCAATTTGAGAGCCCGGCTCAAACCCTAAGAATTTGTATTGAAGATGTGGAAGTCCGGGTATGATTCCCCTTCGGAGAATTACATCTCTAAAGGTTGTTTTCTTATCGCATCGTTCTGTAACCAGCAGCTCCTCGCCTTCTCTCTACAAGTTGCTGGCCAGGCCATCCGTTTGTCTTACTATGCGGTTCTGTCGCTACGTCGAGTTTCAGACAACCAGGCACAGTTGAAGCACGCCGAAGGTAAAAAACAAATCCAAAGATTCCTCGAGCAGTTGCTGGTTCGAACACAGGAAAGTCGATAAGAGGTCAAAAGATAGAAAGTGCAAAAAGAAACTCTCCGACGGGGAATCGAACCCCGGTCTCCCGCGCTTGCAAATTCTTAAGAAGTTGACAAGCGGAAATCATGACCACTAGACCATCGAAGAAGTCGCCGAGATGCGGATGGTTGCTGTTGTTTGATGGGTGAATGTTTGCATTGTTAGCTTATATCACGGTGAATCTTGGTCCACCGCAGGAGCGCAAACAGGAGCGATGTGAGGAGAAGGGGAAGGCATATCCTTAAAAGTTCGCACTCTTGTAGCACACTATTCTACGTCCAACGCGCTCTCATCTACCCCAAACGCAATATCCCACCCCATCTCACTGCCGCCGACGGGCATCACACAGCCTACACATCGGACGCCGTTTATCACGATCATACATGCCGCATTCCGGGCAAAGATACTCTGCGTGCTTGGGCTTGTGGGTGTCTACAGCTTTGGCGTGACCGGCACGCTTCAGTTTGTAGCGGCCCCAGAGGGAGCGGGGGAGGGTGTACCATTTGCCTGACATGTTGGAGGGGTGTGATATTTTGCTTGAGATAGGTGTACTGCGTGGTGTGAGTTGTCGGGGAGGTGTTTATAGAGGTGTTTTTGTGTTGTGCATGAAGCATGGCTTCGGTGGCGGGATAAGGTTGGGCAGTGATGTGTGGATTCACAGCACCGACGGAGAAGGGTCAGAGGAGCACATTGAATAGGCTCGTGAAGATCGTAGATCTGTGGCAGATTGACCAAACGATGCACTGATCCGCTGTGAGGAGTCAGTAGAGTCACTGCGCATTCTCGAGCGTAGTGTGGACAGTGACTATTCACTTACCACCGGCATGTTCTTCCCGGTGCATGTCGTTATTAAAAGAGACACTAGTCCAGATATATCGTTTCTCACCAGATGTTGAGTGGCTGCGCATTATATGTTTAACGGAAACATCCATCTGCCTTCGATGAGCTATCAAAAACATACTCGCAGAACCTAGCTTTACTGTTCAGCTGTGGCCTCCAAACCTACTTGCAAAAACCACATAGCATAAAAAGTTTCTGGTAAGAACCACTACGACATATCACTGCGAACCTCAAGCGTACGCTAACCCCTAACAGGACCAGCGTCATCACCAACTCTAGCTTTCAGAAACTCTTCATATACCTTCGTTCCTCTGATGATTCCAGATCTGTCATACCCTGCAATCATCGACCTCATCTCCTCTATCCATCTCTTACACCCCTTACAAACGTCCATATCCCTAGTGACTTGCGTCCGCGTCTCGCATACCTCTTCTCCACATTTGACAGAGTTGAACTCGTATCTTGGAATATCTCCGCACGAAGTTTCCTGCGTCGTGGCCGAGGAAATTGATGTACGGGAACCGACGGAGAGAGAAGACGGTGGGCCGGACATTGTACGTTGAAGAGAAGGATTTGCGGTGTTAGATCGGGAGAAGCTTGAGCCAAATGATGTGAAGCGTTTTCCCAACTTTGGCGGACGAGTCGTGCTGGGGGCGATGGGGGTAGGGCCTCGGAGCTGTGCCAGACGTTGTTCTGCGGCTGCACATAGGGTCCAGGCTGCGGTATGGCGTTCACCGATATGGCCGCAGCCGTTATGTTGGGTGAGGTTGTGATAGCACATCGGGAGTCGAAATGGTCGTCTGGCTGTTGCACTATAGTTATGCTGAGAGATATATTGAAGTTCAGATTGGGCAATGCTCAGCTAGGGCGTGCAGCGAGCTTTAACCCACAGCTTCGCGGTTGACCGAGTCTGAGTGTCAAGTTGTGACAGAGCGGTGAAGATTATTTGTCGATCATGTGAGCGGCTCAGCCCCTGCAGCTACAATATACTTTCGGTTGTGAATTGGCACATGAATTCCCCGGACTGTTGGTGGAGACGTAGTCTGGCGCGAAACCGAAGTGGTGGTCAATTGACAGCTATCAAACGAGCAACGGAAATCCCTCTGTAACCGAATTGCGAAGTTTGACTTTCGAGTATCTCTCAAGTAGTATCAAACGGTCGATTTCGATATATTGAAAGCACTACACGTCGCGAACCTGGTATAGCGCTAAAACAGCTTCGTTTCGAATCTTTCTCTCAGAGCTTCGTATCGCCGCAAATCGCCAACGCTGGGCTTGATGGCCTTGGCAGCCTGTTCGAAATCGCTTCTTTCCACGACCTCCCTCCCTTGGGTGAGACAGTGTTGGGCAGCCTTTCTGAGGAGAGAGCTCAGATCCGCACCAGAGAAGTCCTTGCAGCCCTCTACGTCGTCCCTCAGCGCGATCTCCGCGAGATCCGGATTGTGCGGCGTCTTTTGGATGAGCGCACGTAGGATCTTGACACGCTCCTCTGGTTTAGGAAGCTCGACATAGATGAGTGTCTCGAGGCGTCCGGGGCGCAGCATAGCTGAATCAATCATATCCGGTCGGTTGGTGGCTGCGATGAGGTAGATGCCCTCACGAGCATTGAGGCCGTCCAGTTCCGTCAGGAGGGTATTCACAACACGAGCAGAAGCTTCTGATTGTTCCGAGTTTCGGTGAGGAACCAGAGCATCGAGCTCGTCGAAGAAGATAACGCAGGGTACAGATGACCGTGCACGCATGAAAACCTGGCGAACTGCTCGTTCGGACTCGCCCACATACTGTTCAGGAAGTCAGTTGAAGCTGTAACTAAGGATCCACTTGGACGCACCTTGTTGAGTAACTCCGGTCCCTTGACGCTGATGAAGTTGGCTTTCGATTCTGCAGCAACGGCTTTTGCAAGCAGGGTCTTTCCGCAACCGGGAGGTCCCCATAAAAGGACGCCTGTGGGCGCAGATATACCAACTTTCTTGTAGCGATCCGGGTTCCTGATGGGCTCGACAATGGCCATCTGCAGCTCCTGGCGCACATGCTCGAGAGCACCGACATCTCTCCAGGTTGTGTCTGGCACTGTGGCAAAGCCTTCTCGCTTCGAGGAGGGAGTGATTGTAGGAAGCACAGACTGGAATGCCTCCATTGTGATAACGGTGTCCTCGTACCCCTCCGGCCTGGGTAAGTCCTTTGCTCGGACGCGTTTGATAAGGCGCACGGTTGACCGATACATTTCTGAGCCGTCGTCGTCAACGTCCATCTCACTTTCCAGGTCGGCAGCTTGCTTCTCTAGTGCTAGTCGGTACTGATCCATCGACCATGTTCCAGCCTTGCTCACAAGATCCTTGAGATCCGCACCCACGAAACCTGCTGTGGCTTTGGCCAGGACTTTGAGATCCACATCTTCCGCGAGCTTAGGTCCCCTGGTCAGTGTCTTCAGGATCATCTCTCTCATCGGCTCGTTCGGAACGCCCATGTTGATTTCTGTGTCAAATCGGCCACCTCTTCGCAATGCGGGATCCAGGCTGTCCGGGCGGTTCGTAGCGGCGAGAACGATGACCGGTTTGCCATCATTTGCTTCCATGGCCAATCCATCCATAGATATCAAGAGCTGGGCAACTATTCGCTTCTCCATCTGACTCTGTGCATTATCGCGTTTCGGTGCTATCACGTCAATCTCGTCGATGAAGACCAGACAGGGAGCTGCCTCTTTTGCTCGCTCGAAAATTTCTCGTATTTGCTTCTCTGATTCTCCAGACATGCCGGAGACGACTGATGGTCCTAATATCTCGATAAAAGGGACGCCGAGCTCTGCCGCAAAGGACCGACAGATCAAAGTCTTGCCGCAGCCTGGCGGACCATGGAGCAGAATACCACGCGGTATAGGTATCTTTCGATTGACATACTCGTCCGGGTTCAACAAGGGCAGAACCAGGTGCTCTTTCAGCTGGCCGATAACCTTATCGACTCCACCCACGTCTCTTAAGCTGAGATGACTCGGTGGGGAGAGATCGGCCTTTTCCTTTTCCTTTGCCTCTTTTGCCTCTGCTCTTTTCTGTTTCTTCCTCTCACGCTCGCCATTGATCTTGGAGCCATCTCGTTTCTTGGCCTTTTCCCCGTTTGGTGTGTCGGTTCCGGATGCGGGCGCTTTTGTCCAATTACCAACAACGAGTCGATTCATAATGTCCTGGGGAGGCTTCTCCTTGGGCTCGTCTCCAAAGTCACCCTCGATAGGGGCCATATCATCTTCCTCTTCCTCGTCCTCCTGAAGCACGTCCAGAACCCGCTCGAGGCTGTCTTCTAACTGCTTCTTGGGACGACGCTTGAGGCTTGAATTGGAAGATTTAATCCACTCGTAGACTATATCAGCTCGGGGTGAGACATCAGGATTGTTGTCCATGTATTTTGTGACCAATTGGTAGACTTCCTTGTCCAGCGCACCCTGGAGTCTACCACGAGGAGCCATGACTTCGGCTGCGAATGTGAGCAGATGTGATTGATGCTGCTTGCACGTGTCGGAGGAACCACAAAAAAGTTGGTCTTGGCAAGGCGATTATCGATAACGTACCCCTGCACCGCACGGGCCCATGCATCATCGCTCTCCCGAGTCAAGGCACCGTCGGACTTGGATGCCCGCGCCGCTCATGGCGTCCACACCGGCAGCATGGGGAACTCAAGCAGTAGCAACAAGATCTCTGCCCAGGATAAGTGTGTGACATCTTCTCCACACTATCAACCTTACTAATATACACCCAGAGCTATCCTGGACATGAAGAACCAGCGTGACAAGCTGCATCAGTACCAGAAACGCATAACCGTGATAACCGACCGCGAGAAGGACATCGCGAGGGAGTGTCTCAGACGTGGTGATGAGAAAGGAGCAAAGCTTGCTCTACGGCGGAAGAAGTACCAGGAGAGCCTGTTGGCCAAGACAGACGCACAGTTGCACCAGCTCGAGGTGTTGACCAGCGATGTCGAGTTCGCATTGGTGCAGAAAGATGTGCTGTTTGGGCTGCAGCAGGGCACTCAAGTACTGAAAGAGATACACAAGGAGATGGGTGGCATAGAAAATGTGGAGAAGCTCCTAGGGGAGAGCGAGGAGGCAAGGGCATATCAAGAGGTGCGGTCAACAACCCGTCTGCGCGCAACCACCATACTGACCCTCATCGTTTTGCAGGAGATTAGTGAGCTTCTGGCGAACAAGATGTCCAATCAAGACGAAGACGAAGTGGAGGATGAATTAGAGGCCCTCGAAGCGGAGCTCAAGCTGCCCGATG